ATTTTTTTAATTCCAATTTTAAGGAGGAATTATCATGTTTTAAATGAGTCACATCATCATTAAGTTTGTGCACCAAGTCTAAAAGTGTTTTTAAAATATCAACCGCGCTCTGACTATTAAGGCGGATCGTCTCTAATAGGACCATCGACGCCTCATATTTGCCATCCTCAAAAATAGGAGGCAATTCCAGTACCCTGTCCGGAGAGATAATTTTCAAAGGCGAAACAGCCTCAGAGATCTCAGTGGCAGCAGACCGAGTCTTCACAGGAGTATCATCACGTCTCAAGGATCTAAGATTCTTAATGCAGGACGTGCACTTGTAGGTTGATTCCCCATTCACCATAAGGCAACTATACTCAGCTTCACTGATATTGACACAGCTGAGATGGTATCTAACAGCACAAGGCCCTACACACTTGATGAACTTTTGCTTTCCGTAGAAGCCCTTACTACACAGGCCACAAATATCTTTGCTCGCAGGCATAGTAGCCTGTTCGCTAGAGTTCACTACACAAACACACACTGCACCGCACAGAGGGAGCTCACGCAAAACACGTCTGCTCGCAACGAGCGTCGCGCGAATAATCAATAATAATAATAATAATAATAATAATAATAATAATAGAGATATATGATGGGATGGTAATGATTTGATTGATCTGGCTCAGGACAGAGACCAGTGGAGGGCTGTTGTGAACATGGTAATGAACCTTTGGGTTCCATAAAATGCTTGGAAATTCTTCAATAGCTGCAGAATTTGTGGCTCTTACAGAAGGGCTCAGCTCTATGAGTGAGTAAGTAAGTAAATAATTAAGTACCTCTACAGAAGTCTTCATAATTTCAGCATGTTTAGCATTTGCTGCACCAATTTCTTCAACGGTTTGTGGTTGCCTTGAAAGTATTTCAGTTGACTCTGTTGTAAACTTCTCAATAGTTGCAACATCTCGCATAATGGAACTCTGCAGAGAACTAACCACAGTGTCCCAATACCGACGGTTGTGCAACTCAATCTCAGCACGAACTGGCAGGAAGCTCACTGAGAAGCAGTCTATCTTCTCATCAGTGCTTTAAATCAAGTACAAAATTAATAGACCATTTGCCACTTCTTGAACTTTTTCTGAGAAAAAATCTACACCATGGTGTTATAGAAAACATAAAGACTATAAGGCAGTGACTGATCCTTTTAGAACCCTCAGACAATTCTATTAACTGATATGGGACTTCAATGAATCAACTTACGCTGGTAGCTTTGCAATTTCCTGACTCCATGTTTTTGAAGCTCGAAAGTTTCGATCCCAATCCTCAGAAGTATGCAGATATTGGTCGGCCAGGGAATCTAAATCAACTGAACCCAATGCAACTGCTTGCAACCATCGATCTTTCACTGCATTTAAGCGCTCAAATAATTCTTCAGCTTTGGCAAATAAATGGCCAAACCTATGTGCATTCCTGTCATCAACACAGAAAATAAAGCTTAATATCTACAGCCTGAATCTTCCATTTTTTCTTTCATTCTAGAATTAATCTGAATTGCCCACTTAAGGGACTAACATTGAACATTAAATCATAAATGTTCACACAACACTGTCATGGCATGCTGGTAATGAAGCCTAAGAAATACTAAATGCAAAGCTTCATAGTGCACACAGATAAGGTTTTCATTGTAATAACAATTCAGAGAGATCAACAGGTAAAAATAGCTGTATTAAGTGTTAACATAATATTTAAATATGAAAATAGAATTCTGAAGATTCATTTTCATCAATTTTCATTTCAAGGGCACTTCATTTTAAAAAGTGAAGTCACAGATTACATTTCCTTTGTGGTACTTGCCTCTCAATAATAGTAGGAAATAGAAGACCATTTGTTTCACTAACACCTCTAAAATTATTAGGAACTGCCAAGAAACGTTTCAATTGCCCATAGTATTTCATCCGGATTTCCTCCATAGGGGGTCTAAATTGCAACTTCTGCTGCCTGCAAGAAAAAAAAATATTTAGTATGCCTTTGCTGTTAATTTATATGTTGCTAACAGGCATGTGAACAGAAAAAACAGTCAACCTACCGATATACCAGCTCCACTTTAATTTCCGGAAGATGTTCATTTAGTGCTTCAAGCCCTATTTGATATTGGTGTTCCAATGCCTTATATAATTGATGATCCCAATGTGCTCGCCAAGACTTCATGTTTGAGAATTTCTGAAGTACAAACACCATTTACAATCATATTTCTTACTATAAAACTGATGTTGTCTGAATAAATAACTATACACCTTAGTACACCTTGCTTAGTTTACTTAAAGATCATCTGTTATAACTGACACAACTTCAAAATTCTATTATACATAGTGCTACATGATGAACTTATTTAGGGCTGTTTGTGTGTAAAGTAAGTCTAATTTTCAGTCAGAAACAACATGTATTCAATCGCAGTGTGACAAAAACGTGCCTGTGAACTGGTATCTCACAGATATCCCAATGCTCTCTTGCACATGAAATCATAAATACTTATGCCTTTTCATTTTCTTACACTCACAAAAAGTCTATCAGCTTGATAGTTTATTCCATATATTAATAAACTGATAATTTTACAAACCACTCTAAACAAAAGACCCTTCAAGGAACAATCATATATAACTAGCCTAATTCTAACAGCATTACATTAGCAGAAGACAAGTATACTAGATATTGTTATGGAATATCTTAGCCGTTCAGCGTGGTTTGACGTGTATGTTTCGTCAAGGTATTTAAATCGTCTGCGGGGGTTCGACGTCAATGTTTCGTCCAGCTGCACACCTATGTTATAACGCCCATAATAATTGATGGTTTTGCTGTAGATTGTTAGATTTTTCGCTGGCCTGTTGTCAGGAGAACTATATTTAATGAGACACGAGTTT